TATATATATATATATACATATATAATATTTTATACGTATAACATAATTAAAAAAAAATATAATAGATAGTGACTCTTCTATTATGAAAACAACTATTAACAATGACAAAAAAAATGTATTCGCGAATATAATTCATTACAAATAATAAATGAACAACTTAAATAAATATTTATAAATAATAAGTATAAATATTTTCTATTCTTTCATATACAAAACGAGAATAAATATGATAGTAATCATATCTACCTATACTTGCTAAGTAAAACTATTAAATGTTCACATGTTTAATTATATTATATATATATATATTTTAATATTTAATAAGTCAAAAGTTTATAAAAAGAGAAAATAATTTCATGATGAAATTGATTCCGGTAAAATCTTGACATTACATTGACATTGTGTTACCCGAAGTGAGGGGGTTGTCAATGGAGAATTGAAGTTGTTTTTATTGAATGAGAGACAACAACGTTTCACCTCAGGTGAGTTTCATTATGATATCCACGAGAAAAGTTGAAATTTTTATCTAAACAATAAAGATATTGTTTCTCTTAAATGTGTGTAAAGGTGATACATGGCTGCCACGCACAATTCTCGTCAAAAGAATAAACGACAGTCAAAAGAATAAACGTCATTTAAGTTTGTGACAATTTTACGATATTAATTAATTTAATATAATATTTTCATTAATAATAATATTAGTAAAAAAAATTATGTTATATATTACTATTGACATTTAAGCAGATGACTAAAATAATATAATAATAAAAATATTTTGAAAGTTAAAAACACATTTGAATGATAAAAAAATATATACAAATGATTAAAACAATATTCTTTATATTTATTTCTAAATTACAAGAATTAAAAGAATAAATTTTAAATTTAAGGATCAAAATAATAATTTTTTTTAATATATTTTAGAGACTAAAAACACAAGTTATAGATTTTAAAGACAAAAAAGTATATTACTCAAATTTAAAAGACTAAAAAAATATAATTAACCCATTAATTAATATTCAATTAAAATTCAAACATTATAATCAATATTTTCAAAAAAAAATTAATTAAATAATTATCTTATTTTATTTTATTTTTAAAAACTGGAGTATTGTATTCTTTATCCACTTCATTTTAATTCATTAACACCAATAATTATCTTATTTTATTTTATTTCTAAAAATTGGAGTATTGTATTCTTTATCCACTTCATTTTAATTCATTATACACCAACTAATGGATTGATTGAAATTGATCTCTGCTTATAAATCTCATTCTTTCATATATATTTTTATATAGTCAATTTTTACATATAAAATTTATACCATAATTTTACCATTTCTTTTAGATCAAACATTTCCGTTTATACTTCAATATTAAAAAATAAAATAAAAAGTGTCGTACTAGTAAAAGAAACATGTGTGAGCAATCAAACTCAACGAGGCATATTTTTTTTCTTTCAAAAAGTAGTAAGGAATAAAGGGGATGCGTGATCCCATTTAGTAGATAAGATTATTTTTAGTGATTGAAATTTTAACACATATACCCAATGTTTAAACCATGATATCATATTTACATGTTGCGCACACGTATAACTTTATCTTTTCTTTTCTAATTCACATGCTTAATTTTAAAATAGATTTTTTTTATTCTTTACATATATCTTTATCAATTCATTTTAGTTTTATAGTTTAAGATAAATTTTTATTCTTATATTTATTTTTTAATTTTTTAATTTTAATTGTTAATTTTTTTTAAAGCTATCTGTTTTGTATTTACATAATAAAAGTCTTTAATTTTGTAAGAGTAAAACATATATCTTAACAATGAACACCGTAAATAATAATATAAAAGAGATACGAAAAAAACTTAATTTATAATAATTTCAACAAAATAAATTTAATATCAAACACATAAAGTTAAATTAATACATTTCAAATATCAAAACAAATTATATAACATATAAAAAGAGATTACTTTAATCTATATAGACTAAAAAGTAAATAAGTAACCTATAAAAGAATTTAAAAACTGCATGTACATGAATTAAAAAGATATAAAAAACAATAAATATAAAAATTAAAAAATATTTTAATCTATATAGACTATAAAGTAAAATAAATAAAATTATAAATATTGAAAAATTATTTTAATCATTTTAAATTTATTTTTAAAATATCATGCATCTTAGAAAGTTGATCGCTGTGGCTCAAAATTCTTGTGCATATTACGTTCCCATTTTTTAGGGTGTTTAAAATTATATTGCATCTTCATTTAATTTTAAAGTTTACACTCCCTTGTCTAACGACACGATATGTGTTATACTTCAATTGATTTTTTAAAAATAAATAAAATTTGCAGTTGCCGTGACTACCTGAGCTTCTTAAGGATTTTTTTTAATTATAATTTTCGGTTTCATCAAACAATTAATTAATTTTAAATCTTTACATAAAAAATATAATATATTAACAAAAAAATGTGATATTAAGAATTAATATTGCTTTTGTTAGAATATAGTATTATTTATTCAACAAAATTGAAATATTAATAGAGGAAAAATTCCAAAAATTGGAATATTAAGAATTTGTTGACTTTAAAATAATCATCTTCATATTAACAATATTTTTTTTACTTACATGATTATTAAATCCATATTAAAACAAAACATATTTTAACAATATTACATTAACAGTATGTGGACATTCACTTATACAAAAAAAAGATTGCTAATGCTAGGAATAAGAGTTTAAGATAAATTCATTCCCACAGGCTGTAAAAAAGATTCTGTAGTTTACATATTTTAAAAAGAAGAAAAATTATATCATATTAGTGCAAAAGGGAATGGAGTAAAAAAGTCCTCTGATCTGTGCAGCAAGCCAGAAACATGCCCAAAATGCAATCAACAAATCAAAGAATGGTTGCACCAACTTCTCCAATGTTACATGCATCAGAAACAGAAACTATTGCATTCCAATGATTAAATGTGAACACCCCAATACAAAGTTTATACATTGATGGTAAGAGCTCCAAGATCTTATGACTTTCTCTCCTTACAAAGCATTATTTATTTATTTATTTATTTTTCCTTTTGTGGTCCTTAAAAAGCAATTAAAGAGCCAATACGTAAAGAACACAAGGAATGCCTTTAGCTGTCTCTCTTTATTAAAGAATGTTCTCATCTTTCCCCGTTTTAGATTCTCAAATTAAAAAAATCAAAATTAATTAGATGAACCACATTGCATTGCATACACAACCTCTCATCATAGGTAATCTACTAATTGCTTTCTTGATGAGTTAACCCAAATCAACCTTGGCCTACACTAAAGAACAAGACCTTAATTCAAACTCAATATTATCCAAACCCCCTTTACTCCCAAACTCTCAAACCCAAATTCCCATCTCCAAAAATGTCTCTTCAATCTCAACCACAACAACCAGTCCAAGTTTACCCAACAAATCAACCTCCTTCATCATCTCACCACTCAAATGGTTCTTTTGGGGCAGTTTTCATTGTCCTTGCTATAATACTAGTCATTTCCGTTGTTGCTTGCTTTCTTGGACGCCTATGCAATAGGCGCTACAATAAGACCCAAAGACCCCTTAACCCTAACCCTAACCCTAAGCACCATAGACCACAGATCCACAATTTGCATCCAAGAGATGATCAAGGGGACATAGAACTAGGCTTTGATGACAAAAGAATGCCACCACCAATCATAATGCCAAAAGGACATGGTCATGGTCATGGTCATGGTCATGCTCATCATCATGGTAATGGATCAGGCATGGGACCCCAGATGCATGTTAATGATAACATGAAAGATTTTGAAATGAGACATGGCCACGGAGAGGAGGTTCGAGCAGGTGCATATACATAGCCATCTTATGCTCTCTTTCTATCTTATTATCTTCTCTTTGTTTCATTCTGAGATTTCCAACTGTATGATGTTGTAAATGTAATATTATGTTCTCTACTTTTTTACCCCTCAAATTTACTTTTAATGTGCCAAGTGTGTAATATTATATCCATTTTTTTTTCTAGTTGATCTGATCACATTTAATATGGGTTACACCTGTTTATTAATTATCAATTTTGCTCAAGTATAAATAATATTATTTTTGTTTTCAAATGTCAATGTAAATTATAGTTTTAAAAACTGGACCGGTCATCGAACCGGTTAAGGTACTGGGTCAGTGGGTCAAAGGTTGAACCGGTGGGTCACTAGTTGAACCGTATGACTCAATTTTTATTTATTTTTATTAAAAAGTATTCATATTAAATATATTTTATACTTATAAATTTTAATAAATTCATATCTTATTTTAAATTTCAATTTTTCTATCTTATTTAAAATTATTTTTATTTTTATTTTGTAAAAAAATACATAAAAAAATTATATGTTAAACGGTATATTAATACAAATTAAAAATATAAATAATATGTACATATATAATATGCTTGCAATTAATATCAGAAAATAATATATGTAATATTTACATAGATATTGCATTATTAAATATATAATTTAAAATTAATAATATACTATAAAAGTTATTTAAGTTGTATATATTGCAAACAAATATATTAGAACAAGTAGTCATTGTTGTTATATTTAATAAGACTCATTGCTTTTTCATTAAGAGATTCAATTTTCATTATTATTTTTGTGATTTATGGTCCCTTAAAAATTAAAAAAAAAAAAAGTGGTTGAACCGGTTTGACCCACTAGTTCACCGGTTGAACCGGAAAATTGACCGGTTCAATCCGATTTGAAACGGGTCGACTGCATAACCGATCCAACTTCAGATTCGGACCAGTTGGACCGGGACGGGCCGGGTCGATCCGGGTTTTAAAACACTAATGTAAATAGTTAAAATTGGTTAAAGATCTGGATTGAACTTTTATATTTTTTTATGGGTGAGAGTTCTTGTAGTTCGAGCCTATACTTAATCTTTTAAATGAACTTAATACTATTAAGAGTGACTTTCCATTTTATCAAAACAAAAATAATGTGACATTTTTGTGTTTAGAAGTGAAAATATAAATATTTAATTTTCTAGACCACTAAGGTGGGCTAGAAGCAAATGGGCCCAAAGTAGCAAAAAAAAAAAAAAAAAGATCCATAAAGCCAAGTTGGAAGCAAAACCTGAACATGGAAAGCAATGGGAGTCAAATTTTCAAGCTGAATTGTCAGTGTCATGTTCTCCTTATAAAAAAAATAAAATAAATTCACCATTGCGGGGTAAGTTTACGACCCACTACCTTAATATTACAGCGGGCTACAACCACAATAATTATTTTTAAACAATAAGTTATCAAGAATCGTTAACTTTTATTTGTCACCAAGTTAAAAACTATTCACCAATTATAAACTTTAGATAACCTCCAAATAACATAAATTTCACAAGTCATAACAAATAGATAAAAAAAAACGTATAAAACATTGATTTTAAAGTCAATGAAAAATTAAGTGTTGTAAAATTCAACTAAACTGTAATTTTTTAAACTAATTATCCAAACGGTGATAATAGAGTGAAATAAACTAAAACTTACACAATTTATTTTTTGTGAAGGAATATACAAACTCTTGTTTCTCATCAAGTCCCAAAAAATATGCAAAATTATTGTTTCACTTAACCACCTTAATTTTTTTTATAAAATATTTACACAAAAAAAAAAAGTTGCTTTATCTTAAGCAAATAAAGCCTCATAAAATATTACAAAAATATAAAATTGGAATTTTAAAAAGGATTAACGTTCTTACTAAATTCATTTTTGTTGGTGAAAACCAATCAAGTTTGGCTTATAAGACAGGAACGATTTTTGTTCACTATTTTATGTCCTCCTTTTATTCATATGTAAACCTTCTTGTGGAAGGATAAGGCTTTTTGGATTTTTTCACCCTTTCCTTTATTTGAAAAGAAACATCTTCTACCTTGACATCTTGGGAACTCATTGGCATTGAACCCAATGGATTGAAGAAGATAGAAGTGTCTCTTCCCTCACTACAAGTTTTATGCTTAATGTGTTCTCAAAATGTCCATATGTTTTTAAGAAACTTCTAGATTTTCTTTTCTTACATTTGTCATTCAAAGCATCCACTTCAACCATTGTAACTTTTGGTAAAACTTCGTTGCATGATCTTTTCGATATACCTTTCGAGTGTGAGGAAAAGTTATTAAATTGCTCAAAACAGAAGATCTTCTTCAGTGGTTATTAAAAAAGTAAGATGTTGTTAAGCAAATATAAGTGTTCTTTTGAGATCATTGCATGCAGTGGCAGAACTTAGATTAAAATTTTGAAGGTGCCAAATTAATTTTTTTATATATAAATTAAAAAATTTATTAATTAAAAAAATATTTCTCTTTTTTTTTTACTCAAATTAAATATACATGATAATAAAATCTCAAATTTATTATCATTCACTAATTATTTTATAAAATAATTATATAAATATAATATTAA